TTATCATGAAAGCGTATTCCACATAAATTTATCAAAATTGCTTTACACAGCAGCAGAGACAGAGGCTTTCGAGAGGGGGGCTACAAATTGCATTACGACCCGCCCATTAAACTGATAAAAACGAGATCCTGGAGTGGTGGGTGGTGTTTTTCGGGAAGTGGGAAGTGGGTTGCTGGCTGAGCGACACTTTAAAGTTGATGGCTCGAGAGAGAATCTAAAATCAAATTTATTAACGCACATTACAATGCTCTCAGTTCATAGCACAAAAAGGGGGGTGGACCATGGGCGGAGGGGGGTTAGGGGTTCAGAGGGTGGCTTCAAAATAATACGAAGGCCGTTGCTCTTTGTTTTCCAGCTACGCGTTCGGAAATGAATTTATTCACGCCAATCAAAATCCCAAATGTGCAGTGTTGGTAAAAAGCCTGAGGATTGAAAAATGCTGAAAGAGTATATTCGAGTTTTTGTTCAAACTAAAAAGCGTATCATATCTTTTCTTCAATTATAATTATTTATTTTCAAAACCCAATACAACAATCGTTTGGCCCACTTAATTTTGCCTTCGGCTTATTCCGCCCAAGTGGCTCCATCGATACACATAGATATCTGTGTCCGTATCATTATAACCGACCATTAAGCCATGATTACAGCGCTGTGAAGGTGAAACCCCATATGGCTTACAACCCGCCCCGCCCCCAATTTCCATTACCATTGGGGTTTGCAAGCCTTAAGCCGCTTGGCAAAGTTCGGTCGACTTATTTCGCCTTATCGACGGGGCCTTTGAGGCATCCACTTTGATAGCTGGCCAACTGTGTTAATTGATAAGCAATCGCTAATCGCGCGACGGCAGAGGCGGCGGCAGAAAGAAAGCTGGTGAAGGGGGTTGGGGTGGCTATGAAAGTGTTTTTGCAACCGATGCGTTTCGCTGTCTGCCGTCTCTTTCGCCCCCTGCCACACCGTCTCTGTCGCACTCACAGGCGTTCGCTTGTAGTGTCAACGCGATTATGATGATTATGCCGCTTCATGGGATACACTATGGCGGTCGCAATAATAGCACTGAGTTGCAAAAGTATTCACAACTACTGAAGTATTTTTCGATGGGGTATCTGTACATAGGCTCAATAATTCTTATTAATAATGCATCATATCCCTAACAAGTATGGAATATTAAACAATTCTCACTTCAAACAAAATAAACTGTTTGACAAGTTGACTAAAAAAGATAAAATTAAAAGGCATATTCTCAGACAACTGTCCTAACCAAATCACTGAAAATTGAATCAAATACCTAAGTGCTCCCATATCGACCTGAGCTGTGATTAAAGGAGTTGGAATAGGAGAGGAGTATATTAGGGCCTTAGATGCAGAGGGGTTTCCGAAGGGGGAAATTGCAACATCATCCGCCTGGCAATTGGAGGCATTTGTGCGTGAAATTACATTGAAAATTTAATTGTGCACACACACAGCCAAAGTGCAGCAGGTCGCAGTGCATTAGACACGCAAAATTTGCTCATAAATTAGAATGCAGCCCCCCAATACTTGGGCTCTGGCGATAAGAAGTGGTACTATCAGTAAAGTGACTAACAATCGCTCACAGACCGCAGTCAATGATCTTCTTCGATCCAAGATGGGATGGGATATACCTTTAGGGATCTGAGGAAAGTAGAACGTTTGAGGGCAGTACCTATAAATAACGTATTATCAACTATAAACTTTTAGCACGCAATCATTAGTTGATTGTCTATCGATTTGCTGGATTTTCCCGCAACTTCCCGAGCCACGCCCCCACCTTTTTCCACCTGCCCGCTGCAGTCTCCGTCACCACACGTGGAAAGTTGCAGCGCATTTCTCCTGTTGCGGCTGGCGCAAAAAAAGGGAGGAAAACCCGTGGAAACCCCTCAGCTGATGCAATTTTCCTGTGCGAAAATTAACAAACAAATACACACAAACACACCGACACCGAGTGTGCCAAATGAAAATGCGCGCGCGAGAATTCAATTTGTGGAAAAGAAAATGGTGTTGGATGAGTGGTTGGGAAGGGGTTTTACATGGCATAGGGTACAGTGTATTGGGTTAGGCTATGGTTTAGCTGGCTGCCTGTTTACTTGAGGTTTTGCCAGCACACCCAGAATTTTCCTTCCATTTTCCCAAGACTTTTCCGCCGACTGCCGGCGAATGGGGGCCAGCCGGAAGGAAATGCAAGCGAACAAACGAAGCAAACACTCAGCTGGAGTGGGTGGCAAGTGGTTAGGCTTCGGTTTTGGTTAGTCTTGGCTTAGACCGAAAATTGGCACAACCGGATGTCGATTGAGTTTGCTGCTGCCAACAGCGACTTGTCGCCAATCATTTGACAGGCTAAGAAGTTTAAGGGCTTTCTGGAGCGACTGATAACCCGACTTAAACGCAGTTATTGGACATTAAAAAGTTAAAAAGTTAAAGTACCAGGGAAAGCTTTAGTAAACTTTACAATCCTAGGTTCGTTCATACCGAAACCTAAGAGCGAGGAACCTTGGTATAAGTAATTGCAATCTTATCAACTCATATTTTATATGCAAAATGTTATAAAACGCATTGAGTGGAATACAACACGAAGTCAAACAAACAAGTTCTTAAAGTATATATATTCAAGAAAGATTTCACTTACAAATTCTACACCAATCGTTAGGGTGAGACTTGTTGATCATTAGCTAAAATATGTATTATTAAAGCAGGTGCTACCTCATTTCCCCTTGAATTTTCCGCGTTCTGGCTTCTTCACCAACAACTAAGCCCCCTTTGGATGCATAGTTGGAGTTGCCAGGACAACAGATCCTTGGAACAAAGCACATGTGTGCTGGTGTACAAGGATCAAAAGCCACACTGAAGGAAACCTAAAATTTAATTTTAAACACCCTGTTCTTGGGAATTTCCTTAAATACATATAACTTACATCTATAGAGAGAATACAGACGGCCATAATATTTAATTTATTTCTCTCAGTGCTTATGTAGTTGGTCCAAAGAGCTCCTGGAATACTAATGCCGGCAATCTGTTTGCCTGTGCCACGCCCTCGTCCGCGAATGCCGCCCCAAGTTCTGTGCTCGTAGGGCCAAATATTTCTATTATTAATGTCTGTTTATCTGCATGCGACGACGTCAGCCGCCCGCCATGACCACCCATTCCCACTCTATATAGACAGATATATATATACTCGTACATATATATATGTGTACAATGTACACTGTACATATATCCCCCGATCCGTGGGGGTGTCTTTGTTTATGGGCTTCGATTAATTTTGCGCGTAAATGGCAAAACGCGCGGAGTGGAGAAGTGAAGAGTTTCCTCTGGCAATTTGTTGTTGTTATCTGCGGGGCTATATTTAAACATAGTTTATTAGTTGTTGTTGCAGCGATTAAAAGCGTGGCAGACTCCTCTTACCCCTCTTCCCCGCTGATGGCAAAAATATTGCCAACATTTCGGTTTAGGATGGCCAAAACGAGAGGGAAAAAGCACGAAAAATTAACACATTCAATCAGGAGAATTATTGCAAGTCGCTGGGCTTGAGTTATCATGTTATCAACTCAATTATCCACTAAGTTAAGCTGAACCCGATGTACGATCGATGTTTTTATATTTTGGGCAGTTTTATTCATATTATCACAAAGCAAACAATCACTGGACATTAAAATGTTCATATGTATACTTTTTGGGTATTTTGACAAAAAGATCATGTTGTTTCAAATGAATGTAAAACCTTAAACAGATATGAGACTATTTTAATTACTGGTATATATTCGAGATTTGTCATTCGAATTTTGCGTAAAATTCCGTTTAGATGTGTAACGAGTCATGCAGTTTTAAATATTCAGAGCTTTGGAAAGATAGGAACATAATCATAGCTTTGCTTACTGACTCAATCTTCTTGCAAGACTCAGACGCTTCCCTAAGCTTCGAAATTTGAATTACCCCATCCGAAAATGATCTCACCCTTGCGCGTTTGTTTTTTGCTGATGCATTCCCATTTTATTGAGAAAGTCTACTCGTAAAAAGTGTCGATTGTAAATCTTGGGAAAGAGCTTTGCCGGTAACAGTTTCGCAGTTAATCGCGAATGCTTAAACGACTCTTAATTCGCTTTGTTTGTTTGCGCGTTTTTTATTACCAGTCGCCAGACTATGACATTCCGCCAAATATTACTGCACTTGTAACCGCAGATAGATAGTGTAAATTTAAACAAATTTAAAAACAAACATGAAAGGGAAATCGGTCGAGTGTGTCGATCAAATGTTTGCTCACAAATGTATTCGTGTTTAGACGCCAATTGTTTAGATAGTGACGCACCCCGTTCCGAGATTAGGCGTTCTTGATAAACATTGCTAATAAACCGAGTCCGCGAATAAACAAACAAAAACATTGCAAAATATAAAAATATCTGATTCGCGTAGACTTGTATGTGTACACTACACAGGGGAAAACACTTGAATGTTATGTGGGTTTTCAAAGCTGGGAAAAGTTTGGTCAAAACTTTAATTAAATGTATTTCAAGTTCGGAAATCCGCCGGACTCATTCCGAAATGTGAATGTTTTTGCTGCATACTTTTGGGCACCCCTATTAGCGATATCCTCTTTTTCTAGTTTCTTTTTAAAATACAGAAGACCTTGACTTGGTTACTTTCCAATTTTATAAAATGTTCTGTTTTCGGCTATATTTTCTCGCAGTGCAGCTCTCGCACATATGCTAGAGCTTTTCGCCCTCGAAGTGCGAATCGCGCTTATCTAATGAGTCGATAATGGGGAACCAGTGGCAGGGGCAAAGGAAATGCATCGGTCGGCGGTACTTTCTGGGAGCTTTTCCGATTTCTGCCTGCCGTGGAACCTGGAGGCGACTGGCCGACGTGACCGGCGGCACATCGGACATCGGACAGCGGCAAAGCTTCCCGCGGGTTCTGGTTTTTTTCGTTCTGGGTTCTGGGAGCGAGCGTGCTACTTAGAGACTATGGTGTATATAAGGCCCCATGCAGGGCGTGCGTCCCGCGCATAGTGCAAACAGCTCTGCTCGCGTTCGCTTCGCATTCCATCTGCTACCATCCTTCAGCCACTCGTAGTGTCCCCGATTCCCGGAGTAGAACCAGCATGTGGTCCAAAATTGCCATCTCCGGAGCCCTGCTCGTGATGGGTGGCATCCTGTCCTCCAGCGTGGTGGACAACTTCGCCTATGTGGACCGTTCCCTGCCGGTGGCCATGCCGAAGGCCAAGGCATTCCAAAAGCCAGAGGAGTGAGGAGCAGGATATCCCGCGGATGAGGAGTGGACGGCAGCCGACTAGCCAGTTCCCGGAACAGGAACCAGTGCTTTCTACTCGGCCACTGTGGACACTTAAGGGCCAGCCAACTACTCCGGCTTGTTGTTAATTTACAAGTTCGCCGCAAGCGGGAAGTAGTTAATGTAGGTCTCCAAGACTCCCACCAGAAGACCCCCTCCCCCATCCGAACCATCAAAAACAACAGTTTCATTTGTTATCACCTTAATATTAAATAATTTCTGTGACCCCTTTTTTTTAGTATTGTGTATGATTAAGCTAAGAACTTCCCTATACGTAAGCAATAAAATATTTAAGCAAGAGTGACGCATTTTTATATGGCTTTTTTGTTGATTTTATTTTACTAAGCCATAGTACTCTTTTTGTGACTAAATATAATTTTTTATGTACCCTGTACGTTTGAGCAATGAAGTTCCTCATAAGAAAGCCATAAAATATTTTAATTGACTTTTTGCTTCTTTATTTATCTATTGTTATAGTGAACTAAGCCTTAGCTCAACCGTTTTTTCGTTTATATACATATATTGTGAGAATATATTTTGAACGTTTAAGCTATAAAGTTCCTTAAACGCCAGCGAATGAATTACCCGAAATTCCAGAGTCACGGATATGAATTTAATTTGCTTTTCTTTTCATACTTCCCGTTTATATTTATTTGATATGGTCTTCAAACGAATGAGGTCCAATTATCGGAGTTAATAATGAAGTATTGACATCGGTCGGCAATTAGTGACAAAAAGATTACACGAGACCACGAGAGCAAACCATTTTGTTTGGCGGGCTTATCAAAGCCAATTAGCATTGCTATTTTTATTTGATATGTATTTGGGGTGTGTTAAATTATCATACATTTTATGAGATAAGCTTTAACAATTTTTTGTGAGTGTTTTAGTGTTTTTTTTTTTTTGCTTCTTTGTGGGGGCTAAAATAGTGGCTTATCCTTGATTATTCTTGCCCTCCTCCTTATTTTCCTTGTCCTGGTCTGACTGGGCCAATTTTGACTGCTCCTCGGCTGCTTTCTTGGCCCGCTGGACCTGCAGAGTATTGCGCAGCTTCTCCTGGGCCTTGTGCTTAAGGATCGAGGGCAAAGCGAACACCGGGGTGATTACGAACGGCGGCTTTTTGAACCCCGATGAACTAGAGGCCTGAGCTTCGGGAGCAGCTGATGATGCAGCTGGGGCAGCTGGGGCAGCTGGGGCAGCTGGGGTAGCTGGGGTAGCTGGGGTAGCTGGGGTAGCTGGGGTAGCTGGGGTAGCTGGGGTAGCTGGGGCAGTTGGGGCAGTTGGGGCAGTTGGGGCAGTTGGGGCAGCTGGGGCAGTTGGGGCAGCTGGGGCATTCGGGGCATTCGAGGCAGCTGCCTTACGGAAGTCATTTGAAGAACCGGGACCGCCACGCAGATATGTGGCATTTAAGGAGCGCAAGGCGACGGCGGCTGGGACCCTCGGAGCTCTCTTTGTTGGCACCTTGAAGATCGGATCGGGAGCCTTGTAAACATTTTGCTGACTGGCAAAGTACTGACTGGCCACCAGTTGACCCCCGGGCCCGGGGAAGTAGTGCGAAATCATGGCCGGCGTGGGCGTGGGAAGGTGCCCCTGGGCCGAGACCATCTCTATGAACTTGCCGTGGCTTTGGCTGAACGAGACCAGTTGCTGGGCGGTGAAAACCAGCTGGCTCTGGTCGCCATTGGCCTCCTGACGCACGGCCTTGTAGCGCGCGGGGTCATGACCCTGCAGCTGCGACAGCTGCACATCCGGACCGAAGAGCTGGAGCTTCTGGTGCAGCTGGACCTCGCTGACCGCTGGCTGCGACTGGGTGGTCGAGGTGGCCACCTCACCGCTGACCGGGACGGCCACCTCACCGCTGACCGGGACGGCCACGGGCGGCTGAACTTCCACCTTCGGCGGATCCCCGCCATTGAGATCCCTGGGCAGCACCCACGGCTGGTGAGCCGGCTGCACGATGACCTTGGGATAGATCTCATTCTCCAGCGGATTAATGCAGTTCTCCAGGAAGTTTGGGGGCGGGGGCAATGGCGGTGGCGACTGCGCGCGACGACGACGCTTGGTGGGACGGGGCTTCGGCGTTGCAGGCTTCCGGCCACGCCTACGACCGCCCTTCGTTGGCTTGTCGGATTCGCCAGCCCCGGACGAGGAGCAGGATGGGTTCTCCGCGGAGGTGCCGGTTGGTTCGGTGTACAGCAAAGTGGGGTTGTTGTTGGTCAGAGCCTGGGGCACTGCTGGCGAGAAGAACGGACGCGATGCGTCGTTGTTCATGAAGATCACCTTGCTGGGGACCAGCGAAACAGGTGGCACATAGAGATCAACCAGCTCGATGATGGTGTTCGGCTGCTCCACCATGACCAACGAGGTAGGGGCCTCCTGCTCTTCCGGCTTGGCTGTGCCAGTACCCTTTCCTTCAGTCAGAGTCTTCTCCGATTGCTGGGGAATTTCCGCTGACTTCTGGGGGATTTCCTCCATGGAAGCATCATTAGTTTCAGTTGTTGGAATAGGATTCGGCTCCTGCTCCAATTTCTGGACCATTTCCTCCCAGGCAGCATCAATAGTTTCACTCTGTGGCATAGTACTTGGAGCCTCCTCCGATTTCTGGGCGTTTTCCTCCATGGGAGCATTATCAGTTTCATTCTGCGGCATGATATCATTTATCGGAACCGTATTCTGGTTCTCCTCCGGTTTTGGGGACACTTCATTTTCATCCATTCCGGTAAGGGGAATCTCCTTCTTGGGTTCCAGGGACATGGTCGTTCTGGTTGGTGCCTAAAGAGGAGAGGAGAGGAGGTCAGTTTGGGATGACAATGGGGATGGGAATCCCGCCCTGCAGCACCACATATTAATTTGCATTTGGTTCAAGCCTCATTTGCTTTTATTCCTGCTGACTCTTCATCGCTACCCCCACTCGGAATTTCGCTGCCCCCGACTTTGCTGGTCAGTCAACAACTGGGTGCACTCGAAAAAGAAATAGTGCATTTCAAACAAGACTACTCTAAATGTTGTATGATTTAATTTAAAAAGTTGGTTAATATTAGACACGATATAAGTAATATTAAACTGCTTAATTTAATGAGAAAGAATATCATATTAATATCAAAGTTTTAATTTGTTAAATATACTATATTTGTTAAATTTAATGTTTCCTTTTTAATAGTAAAGGCAAACTTTAGAAAAATTCAAATAATTCTGATAACCAACTTTCACAGCTGTTAATACTGATTTTACAAGCTACGATTTTCTCTCAGTGCACACACACAATCCCGCCCCCATCCCTCAAACACAAAAAATGACTGGCAAGCCGCAAATACTTTGTCAGGCTCAAGTTGACAGTCGTCCTGGATCCCGAGTCCTGGCTTGGTGTTCCTGGCGCCATAGGCTGGTTTCGGCCTCTCTATCTGAGGACTCCCTTCCCCCCACTCACTCCTGCCTGCCGCCGACTCTGTGCCCACGCATTTGACACTTTTTTGCGGGGAGCCATATGCTGGGGACCCCCGTCATCCCCACCTCCCCCTTCAGACCATTTGTGTGTGCGGAGGCATTTGGCAGAACAGATTGTTGAAGATTTGATTTCGGGCAGAGAGCTTTGCCACTGGACGCCGCCCTGACCCCCCTCGCCAGCTTGCCCCAGCCTTCCCCGCCACTGGGACAATCGTTAATCTAATGAAAGATGACATTTCATGTGGGCCTGGAGATGTTTATGTCCCAACAACACTTCAGCTTGGACCCTGGGATGTGACCACTGGAGTCTCCACTTCCATCTACATCTCCGCCTCCTGGCTTCCACTTGCTCGCATCTCATCCGATTTGCTGGGGGCATTCATCATTCCCCGGCTTTCGGCTTTCGGAGCTTTGATGAATAAGCGGCTAGTTAAGCAAGGGAGCCCATCACCCAAGTCTGGAGATGGGAGATGGGAGATGGAAGATGGAAGGGGAAGGAGCTGGCTGCGATCAGAGGTCAATTTTACAGGACGGGGATCAATCATAAGGAAGATATGTATATCAAAATGCGTATTTGTTACTAATTATCCATCATAGTATGGTATTAATTAAATTAAAAAGCTTTTATTAAAGTGGAAGCGAAAGCAAAGCCCTGCATACTGATCTCATTATAATACAGTTTGGCATCGGTTATTTTCTCGGTACAATTTTAGCCAGCCCCTTCCCACACCAGCCCAGCACTCAGTGGCCCAATAAAATTTGATTAGCCAAACAGTGCGGATGGGGGAGTGTAAGACGGGCGGGGCAAGTCCTTAAAGGACCCCCTACAAGAAGGACCCGAGAAATATTAGAACTTATGGGAGCCAAAAGGGGTGACCTCCCAATTTCCGGGGGACATGTGTATTGTGTATTCATGAGGCCGGGCGGCGGTGGCTGAGAGGAAGCGGCAGGACATCAGGCAACTTTGGGTTAATTTACATTATAAACTTTGAATATTTTATTGTTTGCCCGGGCTAAGGACACCAGCTGGCCCCGGGCGACAGATCCCGCCCAGCCCTCTGTGCGCCCCTCAATCCACCGTCTTGGCCACGTTTATTGACACTTCTGTGGGCAAAAGTGGTGGGGGAAAGTGGGAAGCCGGCTGAAAGCTTCTGTGGTCAGCAGAACGACGACTCTGTGACCCTGATTTAATGGTGGCATCAACATTTTTGGCCAAATTATGACAGAGTTAGGACCTCCATCTCGTCGCTAGGCTACCACGCCCATCATTAGCATGGCCTTTGCTTGTTAAGCTTTTAAGCATTGGGTTACTAAATAATTAAACAATTTTCCTTTGCCAGTTCGTAAACCCAATCAGCCACAGATTTCTGCACATAAGGAGCAGGGGAACCCCAAATTATGACTGAATTCCGACTTAAATGGTGGAATACTCATTAAATTATCTTCGAAATCGATACGCTAATATCGACCACCGGTCGCCCAAAACTCCAGGCCCTAATTATGCATTATTTTTTTTGAGCCATGGAGACCAATCGAATCGGAATATCAGATGTCATTTAATCAATGCGTTGGGCTTTGTGAAATAGGGCAAATCGGTGACGGTTTATAATGCCTTCTGCGTTTAAAATTGGTTAAAATTATAAAAAAATACCAAAATATAATTAACTTAATACAACTTAGTTTTAAGTATTGAGTTTAAACAATTCTTGAGAAGTTTGTAGACTCCAAACCCCATCAGTTTGTTGCTTAATTTATTTATATATAGAAAAACTAATTAAAACTGTAGGTATATGGCTTGTTTTTGGTATTTTATAATATCATTTTCAAAAAGCATTACCCTTTATCGACACGTCACTTAGATAAGAAAATAATAAACGATCTAGTACACCGTTTAGTATATGACATAACAGTATATGACAATATATATATAAAATATAAAAAAAATGGTAAACCCCATTTTGCGGCCAAATGGTATATCTTTATAGGGTATTTAAGCCTACGCTTTGTTTCATTTCAGTTGGTCACGCGATCCCACCGGATTTCTGGCTATTGAAAACTCTACTTTATCGACTTGGAACGTTTTTCCCGAACCCGGCTTAAGGGTCCTGGTGAAAGTTTTGTTTTCGCAGCTAATAAGCTACGTGTCGCAGTTACCGTTTGGATGGTTTTTGGGGTGAAGTGGGTGGAATGGGTGGCGGTTAGAGGGGCGGCTGGGTAGTTGTGTAACGCGGCTTTTGGACTAATAAAAATACGAGACAGTTTAAGCTGCCTGCTCTTTGTTCTTTTGGCTACATATGAATAAACTGCCTCTAATCCAGCAACCCCTTCCCTCAAAAAAAAGAGGGTTACAGATGCTGGCAGAAAGGAAATTAATAATTTATAAATGTTTTCGCGGCGTCAAGGATTAAGCAGTGGATTTTCAACGCCTTTGGCTTGAAAGTTTTCCTCGGGGGGAAAACTCATTTAAAGAAATGCCTCTCTTATCACCGCCCTGGCATCGAAATTAGCCAGGCAAAAAGTGCGAAGGGAAAATGGAAAAAACCGGGATGGGAATGGGGTTGGGTGGAAAAACGAGGACAAAGCGTATGCAGGCAGTGCAATAAATTATAATGCAAATCCGCCTTTGAGATCGCAACAACGATGGCTGCAAAATGGGCATTAAATGGCCGCCACTTGACTGCGCCACACAATTTTTTTTTCATTTTTTTTTCGGCTCACCCTGCCATCTTTGTTGTTCGTCCATTTAAAATGATAAAAATCGCAAACAATTTCTGCGCCCGCAATGAAAAAGTGGGGGCTCCGAGGCCCCCGATGTGTGAGGGGGTGTGGGGTCTCCAAACAGAAGCGTTTCACTCACCAATCAAAAAGTAACTGCAGAAATTCTCGAAAACTTAAAGCGACACAAAACTGGGATTCTTAATGCTCCGTCCACGACAAAACTCGAACTGAAAGTGAGTGTGAGACCCTTCAGGCCTTTCGAAGTTCAACTGACACTCCGTCCAGAGTCGACTTGTGATTAATATTTTCACAATTGTAAGCCTTACCTTATCTCACAAATAGAAATTACTTAATATCTTCATTTTTCTTTGTAAGTAAATTCTCAATTTTAATTTAATCAAAATATTTTTCCGACTTCATACTGCTTAGGATTAAGTATGGGGTATAAATTGACCCTAAAATGATATCAGATTAAATAGTTAGAAAGGTATATCTTCCCAGCACCCACCCTTTAACCCCCCCCCACACATGTCCTTAGCCGACCCCCAAAAAGGTTCCCCTTTCCATGTGCAAAATTATAAGCATGTGTAAATGTTTAACCGCCCCCATTCACTCGTTTAATCCGCCGCAAAATGTTTGAAAATTGCACTTTAAGGCGGAAAGTTTAAATGCGAAGTGCTGACAAATGCGTTTCGATTTCCATTCACAAAAGGGGGCTCCGAGTTGGGTTTTCCATACATCTCGAAGTTGGAAATTAAATTAAATTTCTTTATTGCCACTTTTTTCTTCTTTTTTCCTGCACTCGTTTCATTTCGTTTGCTACCCATATGCATATGCAAAATCCAAAGAGGGTGTCCTTTGGTGGGTGGTTGGGTGGGTGTTTGCTTGAAAAAAGGGGGTGGGGCAGGGCAGGGGTAGGTCGAGGGTTCGATGGGTGGTTGGACAGCCAAAGCAATCAGCAGCAATAAATGATAAGCTTCGAGGCAACAAAGCCAAAACCAAGAGACGCACATGAGCACAAAGAGTCGTCTGGGAGGCGGAAATTCCGTTTTGGGGGGCGGAATCCGAAGGCCGGGCAAAAAAAAGGAGTGTCTTAGAGGCCGGAGCCCAAGAAACTGTCATCCACAGGAAAAGTGGTGGCGAGTCACTGGGAAATAGGCTTTCAACGCTCGCCTCTTCTTGGTCAATATCTGAAAATCGTAAGAGGGGAAGGGATGGGATGAGGTGCTTGTCTGGGGCTACTTTGCAACATATTTGCCGCTAACGAAGCGCACGATTTCCAATAATACCCAGAATGCGTCTCGGAGATGCGGATGCGAATGCGGATGCTGTTCTCTAATACCCTCTAAAACTATTGGGCTGGGGTAGAACTGCGGTTAAGCTATTTGGATCTAAAAAAAGTTAACAAGGAATGGGGCCTGAAAATATTCGACCTGAATGATAGATATTGCGAGTTAATAGAGATTTTTTTAATATTTGGAATCACATTTTAAGGTTAGGAATACGTTATTATAATTAATATAGTTAGGACTATGATTATGGATTATGATTAGGATTTTATACTGAATCTATCTCATACATCCCCATCACCATGTATGAATAATGAATATAAATAAAATAAATTTAAAAAGGACCTAATAAGGTCTTTCATTTGCACCGTTGCTGGAATTGCCTTACTTATTTGATAATATTTTGGTTTTATACCAGGGTATTCAGTTTGGCCGGCCTTCGATAGGCGACACCCTGCCACACATGCGAATACAATTGCACGGGGTGCTTTTGTGGGGAGTGGTGGTCGGGGGACCTTCATAAAACGTACTCCAAATGGACACAAACACTCGGCTGCCCACTCCACAAAAGCGACTTGCTGGCAGGACTTGGTCGTAATGAGTTCCCCTGTGGCCGGACCGTATCGCCTTTTTATGGAACCACCCACGCGTGGAGGGGGTTGCGAGGGGGGTTTCAGGGGGGGGCGTCAAGGTGAAAGCCACTTAAAGCCAAGGGCGGGACTCAACAATTTCCAGTTATCATGTGACAGTAATGAAGTGACAGACGGCAACAAGGCGATTCGAGGAGCCCGATGACAACTCGACCACAAGGCTTCAAGTGCGATTATGCCGTGGAAGGGGGCTTAAAGTCCGTTTAAGGGGCGGTGGCCAGGTTTTCAATCCCATCCCTCAACCGGGATGGATCGCCCTGCGGTTCTCGGACAGCGGCCGCATTAATAATTAATTGCAGAATAATTGCAAAATTGTGTTTGGCCGAGTTAATTTATGCAATAAAACCACCACGCGCCCCATTCCGCGATCCTCTTCGCTTAAACGTGGCCCCCCTCACTCAATTTGCCACCGTTCATTCCGCGTAATTCCTCCTCTCATTTGGAGCAGGCTGCCTCCCCTTTTTCACTTTCGTTTTCCTTTTTTTCCTCCTTGCTGTGTTTGGGCCCAGCTAATGAGCCACTGATGGTCATGAGCCGGCGACCCTGTCCCCAAGAACAAACCCTGGCCCCTAACCCCAAAGCCCAGCCCAAGTACCGATTCCCGCCCCTTTTTTGAGCCAGAGCAATTACTTAATCATTTGCCTAACGACCGAAAGGCAGGCGAAGGCAACAACAGCAGAAATTAGCAAAAATTAAGTGAGAGTTCAAGTGAATTTCGGGCAGGACTCTGGGAGGTCAGGTCCACACCCATGTGGCCGAATTTGTGGTAAATGGCAGTGCGGTTTTTCTCATTTTCCAAAACAAGTGCGGCCAAGGCTGAAAAGTATGCTATTGGAAATATGCTAAGTTGTTCTAACTACTCCAAACTACTTATTAATACATTTAATTTGAAAGTTGTAAAACGCTGACTTCTTAACTCATGGTTCACCTCATGTTCTCCCAGGATTTCCCGTGTTGCTTGTGTGCTTTTGTCACGTATTGCGGTTTCTGTTACTTTGAAATATTCAAATCAAAATATGCACGAAAACCACTGCGCACCCACTGTATATATATGATTGTAGTTTAAGGTGTTTGCTTTTCATAATCTATTATAAACTAAACCAAACGTATTTAAAAGTATCTCTCTTAGCCAGCTGCAATTATAATAGTTAGAAAGAATTCATAACTAAGCGGATCTTTCATATCGTTTTCGCAACTTGTCTCGCCTGGTTTAACATACTTGTTGTGAAAGGAAAAATTCTGACTGAGCTGAGGAAAATCGGGGGCCGAATGACAGAGAAGAGGGAAGGGAGGAGGGAAAATCAACATAAACATTTTTGATATTTCAAATATTTTTCATTTAAAATTCTTTGGCAGAACCATGGGTTGGCCAAGCAGAGCCCGAGATGCTCTTGGCCTTTGGCCTGACTTGTTATTATTCTTCTACTTTCAAAGCTGTGTGTGGGCCAGGGATGCTGTTTTGTCTTTTTTCTAGACAGATCATCACACAAGAAATTATTTATTTATAAATAACATTTACAGATAAATTCAACCAATAAGAAAATGAAGTACAACATGAATTATAATAAAAACACAAATACTAACCCATTGTAAAAAAGGTTTTTCTCTTTTCTATTAATTTTATTTGGCTGCTTTTCATTGCGGCCTGACAACTCTGGTTTCCAGTGTGCATCTGCAAGATACTCGTGCTCGGGTGTGTATCTTATGGATTTCTGTTCGGGCCCAGGCAAGCATATAAATCTATTATCCTTTAATTTAGCCACAGAAATAATGAAGCATGTAAGAGTCTTTTGTGTATCTGTGTGCATGTGTGTTTGTGTGCCACGCCCTCTGCCAAGCAACCCCCTTCCCCCCGTTCCACGCCCCTGTCACACATAAATTCAATCAACGGCAATTTGCTGGCAGAGTTGCAAAGGCGTCGACGTCCGCAAATGTGCAATTTATTTATTGTTACTACGGCAAAAAAGCCTCTCGCAGTTGTTTTCCTACTCAGTAATTTCGCTGATCATCTTACGTAAAATTAACTCCCTACCAATGATTTTAAGTTCCTTACTTTATTTATTTTAAGTATTTATAATTTAAGCCCTTAATGGACAGTAGGTAAAAAAAGACTTGAATTTCACCTTTACAGGCTCTGTCAGTTGTTTTGCTCCTCAATAATTTTGTTGTGTGCAGTCAAAACCAGTGTAGTTTAAATCTTTAATGATATAATCGGTTTAAAGAAATGCATTACAGCTAATATTAAAAATATATAAACTCCAAAGACCTCAAAGTACTTACCCGTATACCAAATTTTCCTCATTTTCCCCAGGGTATTTTCCACTCTTCTCACTCGATTTAGGCCTTTCTCCAGCTTGTTTTTGTATCTGCAAATTGAATTTTCGTTTAGCATTTGTGCGATTTTCGGCAATTCATTAAAATCGGAGCGGTGTGGTATGGTGCGCTTTTCCAACTGCAACTTGCGCCCGCTGCAGGCAAATGGAAATGCAAATTTCCCGAGACAAGAGCAAAAAAAGGGGCAGCAGCGAAGACACAAAGCGACGACAAAGCCAGAGCGTTAAATTGGCAACACACATGCCGGGGAAAATGGGGAAAATGTGGCAACATCTGGCTTGGCAGCTGCCTTAATTAGTTAATAAGAAAAGCGAGTTTCCCCTGCCTTTTGAGCAATGCACATCCACGCATTTTTTCCCTCGAGCGGATTGGGAAAAGCGCACAGCCAATAATGGCATAATGAAGTTGGCCCACTTTTGCGATACACGATATTCGATACTGCAAACTCGATACTCGATACTTGGCACTCGATACTGCTACCCTCGATTAACTCCGGTTGCGACTAATCGCATCAGTTGGGATTATCCCCACCAACGATTGATTTACGAACCTGGCACTCTGAAAACTGAAAACTGAAAACTGAAAACTCTTTTTAAGCTGCTGCAATCTTGGGATGTTCGCAATCACACTGTTGTTGCACACTGCCTCCTCCCTGTTGGGGCGCTGCCACGCCCACCCAATTGAGTTATGATTTATGGCTAGGCAACAGGTGAGGAAGGCCCGAGTAGCCGTCCCGTCGATGCTGGCCAAACCGGACACCTTCCGCATCCGGAGAGCACTGGCAAATACGGTTTTCTATCGATTACTCAAAAATTTCGATTATTATTTCGATTAAAATAAAACCTTCTTTGAAACTAGCTTTCCTGTGCAGTTTTGATTTGATTAACAAAATGGAATGAATCCTGGAAAACTCCAAGTTGCAAGGAAATGAGTTAACACCTCAAATAAATGGCTAAAAAAAGTGACTATTTTTCCGAGTGCATGCCACATCCGTCCCGTTGCCACGCCCCCTGCAAGCCGCAGGCGTAAACTTTTCGCGCCTCTCGCGCCATCCTCATAAACTGTCCCCCGCCGACGTGGCACTTGGCATTCAGGACAGGACAGCCAGGGATTGGGAAAGAAAAAGGGAATGCAGGATGGGGGATCTGCAGTCGGAATCGGAGCCGGAATCCCACTGCCAACTGATTAAAATGCGTTGCAGGACCGTAAAAGGCGCTGAGTCGACGTCGACTGCTCTGCCGGCGCCGCTGCATTTGCATTTATATTGTTTTGACCCGAGCATTATTATCATTTCTTTTCGCCCACTTCCACATCCCATGCGCAGCGCCACTTTGTGGACACGTAGTCGTAGTCCTCCAGGTCCTCTGGCTCCTCCACCCCATCTTCCTCGCCCACTGATCCTTGATTATGCCACCGGCATAAAGCCAACTTTGGCCACACTCCCTAGCTCCAGCGGAAAGTTCTGCTTAGCGGGGTGTTTTATGGCACTTTTTGAACCCATTCAGTGGGCCAGGCCAGGCCAAAACTTTGAGACGTTTCCCGCGACAGGGCGTCATAACGAGATACAGGTCCAGATATACGGATTATAGCCGAAAGCGAATGGATGGACATGGACGGATGATTGGTTTTCTGGACCAAAACGGCCGGGAAGTCGCCTTGTGGGGGGATAATGCAATCTATATGGTAAAGTGATAAGTCATACAACAACTTAAATCTTTTACCTAATCGCAGCCATGCAAAATGTTCTAGACTTAAAGTTTTACTTGATCGAATTTCATAATCTATTCCAATATTAATAGAACTTTGATGTGTATTTATTCAGAACTAAGAAAAATGTGGATTTTGGTTAATTTGGATGTGAAAAAGGAAAATCAATTTTATTGGGGCCCAAAAAACACTGATAAAAGAAAGGACTATATAACCAAACGATAATGTGTGTACTTAAATTTAGGAACTTTATTACAATCGATTTCACAATAAGAAGCGATTTAAGAAATCGTGTTCTTCCGATCTTAAAAGGCCAGATCTCTGACTCTACTCCTCAGTTCCCGATGTATTTTGTTATAATAATCGGATCCAATACAATTTTAAATTTTTTACCCGTTACTAAATCCTACTACCTATTTTTCAACCAAAAAAAAAGGTATTTGGCAATCATTTTGCGAATTAAAGTCCAAATAAGGAATGTCATACCTCGTTGAGCTCGTAATTTAATTTCCAATCGATTGGCATTGAAACGTGGAAACTCTAATTTTTGGCCAATTTTCGCAAATATAGATGCGAAAAAAAATGCGAAAATTGCTCAAAAAATAAATTTTCCCAAAAATGATGGAAATCGTTAGCCCAGGTTGTAAGCTGCTCAAGACAGTCAGTCTTTCTTCTGTGCGCCTCGTTTTTACAAAGTTATGATTGAAAAACCAACAAAAATAAGGGTGTGTTTGTCTGAAATCCTAGTACCTATTTTTCAACCAAAAAAACAGGTATTTTGGCAATCATCTTGCGAATTAAGGTCGGATTAAGGAATGTCATACCTCGTTGAGCTCGTAATTTAATTTCCAATCGATTGGCATTGAAACCTGGAGACTTTAATTTTTGGCCAATTTTCGCAAAAATAGATGATGTAACCCCTTATGAAAAATGCGAAAATCGCTCAAAAAATAAATTTCCCTAAAAGTGATGGAAATCGTTAGCCCAGGTTGTAAGCTGCTCAAGACAGTTGGTCTTTCTTCTGTGCGCCTCGTTTTTACAAATTTATGATTGAAAAACCGACAAAAATAAGGGTGTTTTTGTCTGACATCCAAGTACCTATTTTTCAACCAAAAAAACAGGTATTTTGGCAATCATCTTGCGAATTAAGGTCGGATTAAGGAATGCCATACCTCGTTGAGCTCGTAATTTAATTTCCAATCGATTGGCATTGAAACCTGGAAACTTTAATTTTTGACCCATTTTCGCAAAAATAGATGATATGCAAAATGTAAAAATCGCTCAAAAAATAAATTTTTCCAAAAGTGATGGAAATCGTTAGCCCAGGTTGTTAGCTGCTCAAGACAGTCAGTCTTTCGGCTGTGCGCCTCGTTTTGACCAAGTTAGGATGAGAAAACCGACAAAAATATGGGTGTTTTAGTCTGAAATCCTACTACCTATTTTTCAAACAAAAAAATAGGTATTTTGGCAATCATCTTGCGAAATAATGACGGAGCAGGGAATGCCATACCTCGTTGAGCTCGTAATTTAATTTCCAATCGATTGGCATTGAAACCTGGAAACTTTAGTTATTGGCCAATTTTCGCAAAAATAGATGATGTAAATATGCGATTATAAAATATGCGAAAATTGGTCAAAAAATGAATTTTCCCAAACGTGTTGGAAATCATTAGCCCAGGTTGTTAGCTGCTCAAGACAGTCGGTCTTTTGGCTGTGCGCCTCGTTTTTACCAAGTTATGATTGAAAAACCGACAAAATTAAGGGTGTTTTTGTCTGAAATCCTACTATCTATTTTTCTACCAAAAAAATAGGTATTTTGGCAACTATATTGCGAGTTAAGGTCGAAATAAGGAATTTCATAACTCGTTAGCCCAGGTTTTTAGCTGCTGAAGACAGTTGATCTTTCGGCTGTGCGCCTCGTTTTTACAAAGTTATGATTGAAAAACCGACAAAATTAAGGGTGGTTATACCCGTATACTAGATTCGTCGGATAGTATGTAACAGGTGGAAGGAAACGTTTTCGACCCTGTGAAGTATACATAGATATATGTTTCTTCCCTTCTACTCAAAGGTTTATTTATTTGTACAAGTTGGTTAGCTGAGTAACGGGTATCTGATAGTCAAAGCACTCATCTATGGCGTTCTCTCTTGTTAAAATTTAGCAATCAACGAAAGCAACACACATCTTTTGATCCACCAAAAAAGGTCTGACAAAGAATTGCCAGTGTCAGCATCGTTCAGCACAAAATAACTGAAGTCTGCAGTATAGCAATTGGAGCGGGACTTGTCGGACATCTATGTATCATATCATACAGCTCCCATCGGTATGATCAAGATCAAAACTGAAAGCTTTATTGTACTTTATCATATTTACTTATTCGATAGTATACCGTTGACACACCGTGTTGGCTGTCTATTTTCAACCGCTTCTCTGGCGCAGGGTATCTCTGGAGAATTTTTATGAAGGGGTATATTTATCATCGTTAGAATAATTTTCAGTTTCCTTTCTGGTCTTCCCGCCCCACCAGCATCTTTTTGGTAGGCATAATCAGTGGCCCGCATCAAAATGGCGCTCACAACACAAAAAAATTTAGATGAAATACAATAAGAGAAAAATCGAAGGAGGACAAAAAAATTTGAAGCGGACGTGGACGCTGACTGATTAGAAAAATGTTGTAAGACACAAGCGGGCCGGCAAAAACTGAAATAAAACAAAATGAAAAGGCGAAAAGAAAGAAGTTTCCTGGCGGAGGACGAAATGAATAAAAAAGAAATTCATCAAATTTCGGGAGCGTAGCAAAAACGACGCCCCTGATCGGTGGAGGGGGGTTGACAGGAAGCGGCTTGTCAGCACACGTACACCAAAAAATATTGTTGAAAACAGTTAGCGAAACAATTTAATGATGAATGATGGTCAATGGCGAATTCCGTGCATTGTGTAGCGGAAGGAAGCCGTCCCCAGGGGCGTGGAAGGGGGCTGTACCGGGTCATACCCATGGCTGACCAGGTCCCAGAAGCTCTAGCAGCCCCGAGCCCTGGAACTTATTAAAAATGTGTAAAAAGTGAATGAAAATCCGGGGGAAGTTGCCGGCGACGCCTGTCACACGCCTTAAAAAGGATATACTTGGTCTATCTGTATCTGTGGATGCCATTTATATTGCTCTTGGTTTGATTTCGATTCTCTCGTCCTGTAATCTAAAAGAAGAAAGCGAAAGTATTCCTGGATCTAAAGAAATGGTAGAAGATTATTTTTTATTTTAATATAAATTTATTTTAACACGCAATGATCAAACAGTACATATACAATATATAAAACCATGAAAAATATAAAAAAATATATAAAAGTTTAAAAGGCATGTATATATATATGTTTCCTAAAGGTATTTTACGTAAGCTTTATAAACTTCATAGTATTTACTATGACTGTGTTTAATGATATTATATATAAACCAAAGTATTGGGAGTTTGGTTATAGGATGGCAGTTGGTTGGTTTCCGCTGGTATGTTTTCTATATCTAAAGTAAATGTAATGTTATTATATTATAATTTATATAAAATATACATGTATTTTATTTTTAGAAGTAAACTTAACTAATAACTGTTGTAAATATAAAAGGCGAATTTTCAAATTTAATTTAAATTAAGAAGACCGAAGTGGTGGTTCCGAAATATTGTTGTAAGGCCTATTAGCCAAAATACATATTTATATATTTTTAATGTGTATATATGTAGATGTGACGCTCTAGAGTGAAAAATATTTTATTTACTTTTGTTGCTTAACATTTTGAAAAAACATTTCTTTTTGTTTTATCAGATTACGTTTGATTTGGTCCTCTGTACATATTTCTACCATTCTGATATCTAGGGTTTTGATTAAAGAACAAAATGTTCTTGTGTGGGTAGCTTTTCCTGTTGTTGTAATTTACTTGACCGTGTTTTCCCCTATGAAAATCATCTGTTAACTGCATTGCATATTTCTTGGCCTCCCTGAGAGTCTTTGGGTTCTTGCGCACGACCAAAAGTTGAAGAGGTCCTCGCAGACCCGCTACAAATACATCCACAAACCTTTTCTCATACACAAATTCCTGATTATTTCTCATTTTTAGATCATCAACATTTCGTTCCAAAATGTCGAAACAGGCACATCTTATTTTTGATATTTCCACATATAAATGGGTAATTGAGAGCCCAAAGTAGGGAATTTCTCGTAGGTCGTCCATCAGATTGTCCATATTTCTGGGGTCTGCGAAATTGTCTATCAATGTTTCCTTGATCTCGTTCCAATTCAACTTTGTTCGTTCCCTAATTAGCACGTTATTGGCTTCTCCGACGATCTTCCGTCGAATAGCTCTCATTATAAAAACTGGACACTCAGCCTTATAGACGTTTTTAACAATGTCAAGCACCATATCTTCTACGCTTCCAATAAAATCCGACAGTGCATACTGATCGCCATCAAATGTCGGTAATAGCTGAACCATTTCTGGTATATCTATTTCTACTTGTACTTTGGGGATGTCCATGGGACTTTCACTGTCTGGTGTCTTTGGACCTTCCATTTGAGCTTAGGGTCTTCTTCCGAAAATATTAGAGTATGTGGATCTTCTTATGCTTCCTTTCGTTACGTTTGCGAAACCTGCAAAAAGACTATTGTATTTATAAGACTGGGATGACAATAACTTCATATTAATGTAATATATTTTGGGGATCAAATATTTTCGGTGCTATATTTCTTTAGTTTCACTTTGAGCACTTCTTATTTCTTACACTCACTTCGTTAAATTTTACAGCGATCTGATAGTAGGTATTAGATCATCCAAGTTTGGTTTTAGGAATCATTAAAGAATTAAAATCAAACTGACTCGCTGGAGTGCCGGATACTAAATGAAGCTTAATCCAACAGAATTATTTCAAGAAACCCATGGCGCTCGGAAGCCGCACTTATGTACAAGAAAACGCGTAGGAACATACAACTTACATATGTACAAAAATATGTAAACATTGAAGTGCGAGAAGGGTTCGTAGAAAGGCCCCTCTGTGTGTGTCAAGTTGCCGCGTCAACAGAACCGAGCCGAGATGTTTTATATAGAGTACACGCTGATCGGTAGTTTTTGGGAGGGGGAAACACTTGTGGCAACCCGAGTAGCCCCTCGATATGGGATCAAGTTAAGATCATAAACATTTTCTTGGACATGAGCATTTAGCATTAAAGAAATATGACCGAAGACGTTAGGCCAACCAATTGTATATATAGAAGTATTTAAAAAAAATGATTTTATCCAAAAAATGTATGGTAACCTGCGGTATCCCGATTGCGAATCATTATTCGGGACTTAAAATGGCATTTATCACATTGACAAACTCCTGCTCGACTGTCGGCCCCATTACTTATCCAAATCCAAATCCAAGTCGAAGCCCTCCTTCGGTTCAGACTCGGTATCAGTCATTCGTCATTCGTTCATTTGGCAATCAGAAATGAATTTTTTGCTGTCTCCGCTGGGCGCTGCTTTGTTTGTTGTTCTGCAGCCCCGTCTTCGATTCCTGTCAATCGGCATTTGTCAAATGACTTTGGCTCCCGGGTACAGTTGGCCCGGCAGCTCCTTGGGCCTTTCTCCTATGTCATGATAAGGTCTACCTCCCTCTCACTACATACATATATATGGTACAGAAGGGGGGCCCAGAATCGAGCCTGACAAGCTGCCAAATCTTTTGGCATATCATTTGAATTTGTGCGAGTTCGGAATTGCCATTTCCTGCTGGTCATTTATCTGGGCCTAATGCGCTCCATGACAAGCGAAAGCATTGCTTTCCCATTCCATCCGAGATCTGCGCAGCCCAGCCCCCGATGATTAACAGGTTTCCCAGCTCCTCCGTTCTGATTGTTGTGGATGCCGCCGATGCCGAGGTCGATGCCGAGGCACTTAAGGAGCCCCGGCCGCAGGGCAGGCGATGCCATAAACTCTGCCTGAGCCAATTAAGCAGCACTGAGAGAAAATTGTAGGGAACTCGCTGGTATTCTGGTATTTCTCTTATATTTAAAGTTCATTTAAATTTTATTGTGGTATATGATACTAATACAAGGGTTTTATTTCTCAAAGGACAAATGTCACTATCTTTAGATTCCACTAACTGTAATAGCAGAAGCAATAAGTATGCAGACTTATAAAATCTTAAGCGGAGAATTTTTTTTAGTAGCCTGCCATGCCTATTTATAATACAAAATTCAGTAAGTTTGTCGAAAGCTTAGACAGTGTCATAAGGCTATAATCAAGGGATACCTAAATATTAAATAATATTATTATTAAAATGAATATTAATATTATTTCATTGGGAAATGGCTAGTTCAACATTTCCAGTTACTTTCCAGATTAAAGTGCCTTAATCTGTAATAAATGTTTTAAGACAATTATCTTTGGGAACCAAATTACTGCCAGCTACCATGATTTTCTCTCACTGCAGGCAATTGTTATGGCCGAGTGACCAAAGGATGCCCAACAGGATCCCTTGGCTCCTGGGAGGTGGGCTTTCGGGAAATGTCCTTGGGCGTATAATTTTATTGTGATGAACTGATAATGTGACATTATTGTAACTCATTTGTCAACAAATTACGGGCGCTTGAGGTGGGCGTGGTTCTGTTCCGGGCCTATGTATCAATCAGTGTGCACAAGGACACCCACATCCACACCCCACCCCCACGTAACGCACACACCCACTCTTATACATAATAAATGAATCGTACATGCATTGGAAAAGATCAAAAGTGTCAATAAAACAAAGGCAGACAAACAAAACCCAAAGCGAACTGAAACTGAAACGAACCCCAAAGGGGAAAACAAACATGGGGAGTACGAAATGGAACGGAATGGAGCTGGGCCAAATGACAAAAGTGGCAAACGTGGCATAAATTACACAACCACCACCCCCTTGGGTTGGATAGTTAGGGGAAAAAACAGAAAAGAATATCCCATATCAGAGTCCGAAGCTTGTGATACCCTGCACTCAAAAAAGTGTGCGCCTTGTATACTAGAAACTTATCTTAGAAAACTTAGAAGTAAGTTAGTCTATAAATTAAAAGAATACATCCTCAAAAATATTTTTTTTTAATAATGCTTGTTTAGTTTTGACGAGCTCTTCACATCATATAATGTATATGTTTTAAGCAAACTCGAGTTAGGGTTGGAAATTTGATAAGTACAAATATTTTTCTTAAATAAATTATTGCAAACATTTTTTTGAGAGTGTAACGAAAAACATTTTCAGTACAGCTACGAAATAGGTTAGACCGAACTATTTATTTAGTTTAAGTTCGTTTGGAAACATATCACGTGATAATGATTCCTTTTTTTAACCAGATGGTAAATTTTCAAATTTAAAAGAGGTTACTAGAAAGGAAAGCATTCACTTACAGGGTATCGAAACGCAGAACTTCGGGAGAACAACGAAATCCCCGCTTAACAAGTGGTCTCCAATGATGCGCGATAGAACTTCACATGGCCAACGGGAATACTTTGGGAATAGGAATCAGAATCGGAATAGAAATAGAAATAGGAATAGAAACAGGAAAAAGGGACATCAACTCCGTCCACATTTGACAAAGTAAATCAGGGAAAATTAAATGAATTATTGCCGCAATAAATGTGGGCGAATGGCAATATAAATTGTGTATGTCGCCACTTGAGAAGAACGAAAGAAATGCCCAGCTTGAGATGAAGATGCTGCAGAAAACGAGGGGACTGCAGATGGAGATAGCTAAAAAATGGGACGGAACCAAGGACACATTTCAGATATATATCAAATCACATTAACAAATAGCCCAACGGCAAATAGCCCATCTTAAATGCTGCACCATTTAAGAACTAGAGGGCTACAAGTTTAAAACGAACCATAAATTAAATTAATTTTTTCGTGAAAAGAAAACGTTCAAAAGTTGTCTGTTAGGTAATTTTAGGATAGAATTAATAATCACAATTGATCCAAATACAAATATCTTTACAGTTTCCATAATTGAGGAGAAAGATTAGGTTATTTTAATTATTTTATTGACATCTTGTTATCCTACAATCGAGGTACTACATACATATAAGAACTTATCAAAGAATGTCATAAGCAGCATTAAGCCCAAAAGCTAAAACAATATTGACCTTGTTCTTCCTTCAAATCCCCCTTTATGACTCCCACTTCAGAATGGACCACTTTCCGTGGTTCTTTTTTCCTTTTTTATTTGTGGACATTTCTATATAAAACATTTTTTATTTGCCATTTGGACTTTGATTTATTTCAATTGCTTATAATTTCCTGCACGATTTTCCCCCACTCTCACTCTCTTTTTTTGGGTGGGTGGTCGCGCATAAGTAGAAATAAATAAAAATAGATTAATGGCTAGCTCGAGTATCCAAACAATAAATCCCAATGGTACTGGAAAAAAGGCTAAACTATCCGTTTGGGCTTTGGATGCACAGAGAGAAAACAAAGTGCTGGAAATTGTTAATTTAATATTTATTACACATTACTGTTACACAGAGGAGACGACCAAAAACGTTAAAACACTATATTTTTTGTATTATTTTACTTAACTTACATTTTTTAAAATATCCGAATTTTTTCTGTGTACCTATGTGTTATAGTTGTGTGCAAAGCAAATACATTTTTTTTAATATGATCTTTTTCTGTGTACCCTATGCTGGCAAAAGCTGACTGCTACGCTTTTGGTTCATGTGGCCTTGTCAGCTTCTGAGCTGACACAATTTTTTTTCCTTACTGCAAAGGAGGAATCGCTACGCCGGGATCCTGCCACGCCCCCATCAGGAGCGACCGCCCCTCCGAACTGACAACAAAGCAGTGCTAACAAAATAACAAAATATAACAATAACAACAGGAAGGGGAACAACGACGAAAGCTTTTAAGGCCGCATACATTTTTAATGAAACGAAATGCGGCCATTAAACATTCCAGAGACTGACTTCGGAGACGCTGCTGTCAAGGCATCCGCATTCGCATCCGCATCCGCATCCTGCACCCCCTCCCCGGACTTTCCCCATGGCCAATGTCCCCTCCCCATAACCCTGAGCACCCCACCCCTTGCCTTTAACAACAATTTAAACTTTTATTAATTTTACATACACAACAACATCCACCCAGTGCAGCCGCCATTGTTGCGGCGGGTTATTAAAAAACAAGCTGCCTGAAAATCTTTTCTTAAATTAATATTTCTTTGTACGAGTGAAAGCAACTGCCGCCTGTTGAGGAAAACAAAATAATAAAGGAAAATCGAAACTGAAACTGAAAAATGGAAAATGAGAAACGAAGGAGAGGAAGGAGAGGAAGCTGGCCGACGACTTCCCGTTCCGTTGCCTTTGAAGCGGTTCTCCATTTATTTTCCCCACCTCAAATGAGCGTAATACGGGGCGTATACTTAATGTTAAGTCAACTCCAAAGGGGCGTCCCTCAAGAGACTCTGAAAGTGCGGGGGGCATCTGTAATTGGTGGACTACACTCAGAAAAAAAAATTCCTAGATTTAAGGTAACATGGACTACATCGCCTAAAATTGAGTTTTAATGCCACTTAAAAATAGTAAAAATGGATCTCAATGTTTTATTTAAGGCCATAGACTTTAAGGAATCTATATTTTTTTGGGTGTACGGGTAATTCTTTTCTTTTCTATACGCGTATTTTCAAGATTCGTTTGAAGTTACACATGCAAAGCAGTTATTCCAATGAGCACGATGAAGCGAAACTGCTGAGGATAGCATTATCCATGGAAGGTTTCGGCTTCGAGTACTTATTATACCAAGAAATTAAAATGTGAACATTTTACAACAAACAAGAGAGAACG